TAATTGGAGACTATTTATTTTATAAAATAAATAAAAAAATATGTTAATAATTATGTTGTGATTGTTCATATTCGTTGGTGATGCTAATTGAGAGCTTAGTAGATAGAATTTATATTATATTAGAAATTTTGCGATTAATAAGCCACAAGCACCTCATAATTTACGTATAATTGGTAACAAGAAGTGCTGGTGCAAAAGTTCCACATAAAAAGAAATTACGTAGGGGATAATTTGTCCTGTTACAAAATAAGTACTCTTAAATAATAATTCTACTATAGCATGAAATATTATATAACTAAAATATTATTGTTATATTATGAAAATTATATTGATAACATCTATAATATATTAAATTATAATTTCTTTTATCTATTACATAAAATCTAATAAAACAGTGAAAATAAAATACTGCCATTAATATTTAATATTAATACTATTATTATCTAATATAATACTATTTATTTAATACTATTATTATATAATAATATTAATAACATTAGTACTGATGTGAATTTTATTATTACTTAAATTTGTTATATATAGTTATTTGACATTAGGGCATAAAAAATATATAAATATATAAGTTTTTAATCTATTTTTAAATACATATAAATCTATAATTTTGATATTTTAAAATACAACTAAAACTATTTCATTTGATATTTCTAAATGTAAAAGATAAATAAGTATATTTTCGTCTATTGTAATTTTTCAATTATAATTTAATAAATGTTATTTGATGACCTAATCCAATTTACAAATAAATTTAACTGGTTATAGACAAGAAGAAATATATAAAAACAAAAGATGTGTGTTTTCTAAAGATTTTAAAATTAAAATAACTAAACGTATAAAATTAATTTAATGGACAAAGAATTATAACGACCAAATAAAGAACAAAAATAAATAAGATTATATGTAAGCAAAATATTATATTAATAAATTTAAATATATAAATAAATATTATTAAAGAAAAGATACATGCAATTTATAAATCAACATACAATTTATAAATCTATACTTTCATTTTTTACTCTATAGTTATTTCAAACTTTAATTCAAACAATTTGTATTTTTGTTGAACTTATTATAATACAAACGTTATTCTATCCTTATAATACTTTATATTAAATTTTTCATTACTTAAGTGCCATTTGTCTCATATATTAGAATTTAATCTACATTAAGTTATCTGTATATTTATACTTTCGAATAACCACTTTAAGTACATGTAACATTAACAATGAAGCGTTTATTAAAAATAGATAGTGGTCAAGAATCAAAAAGAAAATTACGAAAAAAAAAATAAATACAACAATATAAAATACAGTGAAAATGAAACTAGTTTAAAAACAAGAATTTTTTTAATAATAAAGAAATATTTTTTCTAAATACATATCTACGGTATTATATATTGTGGTTTGAAGATTTGAGTACGAGCTTTTATGTATATTTTTCAATGCACTTTAAAATATAAAGAAAAATATAAAAAGTAACTTATTTTTTCAATAAAAAATTCAATTCAATTACACTTCATTTATTTCTCTTTTCATATTCTAATAAAAAATAGATAGCAGATGACTCGTATTCCATAACTAAAGTATCACTTTACGTATTCAAATAATAAATTTAAAAAATTAGTAATACACAATAACTATTTTTCAATTTTAATATACAAATAATAATCATTAGAAACATCGATTTTCCTCTATTTTATAAATTACCAATTTTTAATGTTGATTAGGAAAATAAAAATATGATAATGAAAATATATTTTAATGTGGTTAAAACTACTCGCACCCACATATTTCTAAATTCTAGATAATTTATTAGGTAATTACTATATATAATCCTAAATAATATTAACAAAATAATTTTGTCAAATACATAGTGTCCTATAATTGGATCTAAATATTTATACAGTAATTTGCAATATGTACCTAAAATTATTCGTATATATCTTAATTGACGATAATTATACATCATACGTAAAAAATATTGTAGGTGTTATTTAAAATTCGATATGTTTATTGATTTGTAAAATTCATTGTATATAAACTATCTAATTAACATAAATTTTATAAAAGTAATAAAATAATAATAATATATTATACATATTATACATATACATAAATGTATTATACATAATTTTATATATTATTCTTTTATATATATATATATATATATATATATATATATATTTATATACATATATATTTATATATAGTTGATTTTATTGTATTTTTCTAATATTCATATATACTATGGATTAATAATTTGGAAAAGAAGAATTACATTAATAAATATATAAAATAATCATATAAATATGTTAATAGGTTTATTTTAATAAAACCGAGAAGAATATTTTTTTTTTTTTTTTTTTGATGCAATGAAATGGTACAAACTGTATATTCTATTATAATATTTTGTCAAATTGATAATTCTATATTTTATTATATTTCATGTCAAAAATATAAATTCAAGATACAATTACTTTGCATACTTTATCGGAATCAAATTTAAAATATAGTTTCAATGATACACAATAAGCAAATAAGAAAACTATTCTAGAAAAATCTGTTTCATAAACAAAGATATTATAAATATAATAATCGAATTGATAACCAATATATATATATATATATATATATATATATATATATATATATATTACAGATAATATTAAGAAGATAAATTAATTACAGTAATGAATGTGCCTATCGATGAAAAAGAATATATTGAGAATATCAACTTTATATAGATACATGAAAATAAAAATAAACTATGAGAAAAAAGTAAATATAATATAAGAAATATTTGAAAATTAAATAAGTAAATACAAACTAAATCATATTTATTAAAACATTAAGCATTTCACAATTCCATTTAAATTTATTTATTTTTATCAAAATGAAAACATATATTTCTAGTAACTTATGAATATTTAATAAAATTTGTATTATTAATGTTCATGGTCTGTAAAGTGTATACTATATAAAAATATATTTTAATACACATGTGTATGAAAAATTAAAAATAACTAACCTACCTTTGAATCATCGCCATATAACTTCTGCAATAAAAAATATGCGCCTTGGTAAACGTTTAAGTTTTTTTTTTTGTTATATTTTTGATAAAAAAAACTCATTTTAAATAAAAAATTAGTCTTATTTATATATTATAGATCATTTAGTATATTGAAAATAAAAGTTTCCTGTATTTAAATTAATTTATTTAAATTATATATTATTCGATTATACGAGAACAATATGTATAATAAAGAAAATGTTGTGAGATGAATAAAAGATATATATTTAACAAATAATAAGTTCCAATTAATAAAACTATTAAATACATATTTTAATAATATTTACACCGTAGAGTGCTTATATTCTAACAAAACTAATAAAAAAATAGTATGCTACCTAAAAAAAAAAATTGAAAAACTTGATTGAATTCAATAAATGTATATTATCTTGAAGGATATAGATAAATAACATTATATTGTTTTTACATTAACTTAGTAAATTATCAAACTAAACTATTGACTAAATAAGATATGTCTCTTTTATAGATCTCTTTTATAAATCAGCGTGGAAATGTACAAGACAAATAAGAATTTCACAAAATATTTTTATTCGTTAATTAATATTGAATCTACTAATCTCATTATTTTATATTTAAATTTATTTTATTAGTAATTTATACATAATATTTTACATATACTTAACATAATATATATATATATATATATATTTATATTTTAAATAATAATAAATGTTATTTAAGGAATAAATTAATAAAATACTATAGACAATTATTATTTTATAACTATATTAGATTAAAATATTATTTACAAAATTGAAAAATCATAATTAAAATTGTACGATATTTCCGTTTTTCAAAATTTATGCTTTATTATCATGTGTTCTTATTATTTTATATTTACAATCCAATATTTATTTACACTCGTCAAATTATTCGAACTTATATACTAAAATATCAAATCAATTGATTTGATTGACTTACTTTATGTGATCTTTGTTATTAATCAGTAATTAACTCTTACTTTTTTTCGATTCAAATGCAATGAATGAATTAAAAGTCGAGATGTTCAAGAGAAAAATTTATATGAATAAATATTTGTTTTAAATAAATAGAATTTGTTCGTGTACTTTAATTTTAGAGAAAAAATGTTTTGAAAGGGCTATAATATATTTGAGCATCAAATCTATTCGTATAATCGAAATTTGTATACTTTTTGTTTATAGCAATGTTAAACGGTTTGTTATCTTTGGATTTCTTTTTATCCGATTCATATGATAAATTTAAACTTTTTAATAAATTAGCCAAAAAATTGTTTGAACATTTAAGCTGCACTATGCTACATATAGTTAATATTAAATATTAAAAGTTAATATTAAATATTTATAGATTATCAATTTGATATTCAATATATATCTTAAAAATAATCAATTATAATCTATATTTAATTTTAACTGATATTCTGTATAATAGAAAATAATCGTTACAAATTATAGAATGGCGGTTTGATATTTACAAAATATTATTTATGTTTAAGATTCAATTTGAATCAAATGCAAAGAAATGCTTATATAAATGAAATTTTTACTTATCTTATATACAGATTTAAAAAAAACATTGGTAAGTATAAATTATATTTGTAATGCACTTTAAAATAATTTGAAAAAACGTTTATAATATGATTGCAGCCAAGTGAAATAGTAGAAATGCAGTATTTTATTTGAAATAAACAATGTTCTCCTTCACTATAAAAGCAATGAGGTTAATATTATATACCAACAGAATACTATTGCAATACACAACGAATTATCTATAAAAATACAGATTAACAGTTTTGTGATTTTATCAAGTACAGTCAAATACAGGAATATATGTAACACAGAAACTTTCAACTATATCAATATATATACATTGCTCAATTAAATGAATTAATGAAACTGTGAATGTAAGGTGGGCAAACTTATGTTTATAAAATCACAGGAATATTTATACCGATATAAAAAAGTTATAAATATCGTATAACCTTATGGGTACAAAACTACGCAGTGGGTGTATGAGCTGCAAAATCTCCTGTTAAATATTTCCTCTTCTATTTTTGCTTGTCATATCGCAGCTTTCCTGAGTTACTTAAAGCTGTAATGATGATAATCATGTTCTATCGGCTAGAATATCGTCCAAAGTATAAGGACCGTGGGCAGGAGCCTGCTAGCCATTTTGTCACCAGACCCACGATGCATGGCTGCTGGGTGTTCTTCTGAAACAAGCCGATTAAGCTATCGTACCATTCTCTATAAAATTGCTATGAAAAATTAACCAAACTCAATGTAGCGGAAATATTATAATTAAATTATACACAAATTCTGATGACGTTTCAATAAATTTATTACAAATAATTATTTAAAACTCATTACAAACTCATTAAAACAATTACATAATTAATTGTTTAATTATTTTATTAGATTTTATACATATATTATTTATTTTCCTTCAAAGGATTTAAAGAGTATTTATTTAATAATACCCTGAAGTTTATCTAGATTGTGATTTTAGACAATTTATAACGATCTTTTATTATGAGGTAAAATGTTGAGTTATGTATTTTATATATAAAGCATTAATTATAAGCATTAATAATTATTTTAACCCCGCAGTGATAGATACTACTTAATATTTATGTAATGTACAAACAATCTTTAAATAATAATATTATAAAATATAAATATAATCCATTCGATTATTCTATAATTTCAATTGATCGCAAAAATATAATGATATTATTAAATTAATTTTTTAATTTTTTTTTTAAAGAAGTAAGTGTTCATAAAATTAGACTTAATTAAATAACTAATGCTGAGTAAATTAAGAATCCATTTTATTTTAAAATTTCAGCGTCTAATTTATGTTTATATATTTAGAGTTAATATGTACATAACAGTTTGTATTATTTCTATTTTATTCTAAGTTACTTTACGTTTATTCTATTATGTATTTGTTATTCGGCTGTACGGTATATTTAGTAACACTTTTGTAACTATTAAATATATAATTGCATAATGAAATGTATATTAATTTTTCAGTTTTGGTTATTAGGAAATCTATATATAATATAATTCATCTAAGCAAATTATATATGCATATAACACACTATAGAAACAATTGAAATTTATAATTGATAAATAGCATGTGACGTTATGAAAAAAATCTTCAATTATTATAAGCCGAATTCTAATTGTTCTTGAATTAAATGCTATGTTGTAGTTAACAATAGTAGACATCTAATTCTATGTAACAATTATAGTTTAAAAATATTTCAAATAAGAAAATCAGCATCTTATTTGTCTGAATTTCTATTGCAAAAATAAAAAATGTTTACTTCAGTTCTCAATCAAATCATCTTATGTATTGTTACTATTTATCTTCTTGTAAAAAAAATTTTCTTAAAAAAGAAAGGAATTATAAACTGAAATTATTATTTCGAATTGTAATATTGATTAGACATATTCGATTATCCATTTAATGTTAAACCAAGACACTCTTATTCTTGTAGTAATCAGCATTAATATAAAATCAAATTTATTATTACATTTATGAATAAATGTTTACTCTTAGGATAAATAAATAGAAGTCAAAGGTCGGAATTATTCCTCGATTATATAGCCGTAATAAATAAAATATTTTTTTCTGAAAAGAGCAATAATTATACAACTAGATTAATTCAACGACAAATGAATTTATATTTGTTGATTTTTATAATAACAATAGATACTATTTAGAAATATTATACTTATAATGAATAATTATATTACTATTTGTACATAAATTATTAATAATATAATACTGAAAGTTTGATTAAATATAGTTTTGATAATGTTATTGAAATTAAATGAAAAATTAAATCAATATTTTGTTTGATAAGACATTCATGAAGTAAAAATTAAACAGAGTAAAATTTTCTTTTGAAAGAAAAATATTAAGTTCCTACTTTAGACAATAAACTCCTTACAATTGCAGCCTTTGAAAAAAGTCATTTAAACTAAAAAATAAAATATAAAAATGGCCAATTCATGGGAATGCAAATATTAACATTTGCTCATAAAATAAACAGAATTAGAAAAATAGATGATTCATAAAAAATAAACATAGCCTTGTTAATTAATGTCTAAGCGCATTATCATGACTACACGGTATTATCATCTCTTCTTCTGTTTACCATACTTTGTTTCGTATACAACTTTTCCGAATAAATATTCTCTCTCTCTCTCTCTCTCTCTCTCTCTCTCTCTCTCTCTCTCTCTCTCTCTCCGTGCAAAATGTCTTTGAGTAGTTAAACTATCTATGTATATCCACTAACCTATACTACAGGAAATTGTTGAAAAATTTTATTAGAATATTTTTATCTGCATTATACACATAAAAATATCCTTTCAAAAGAAAAATAATTTCACCAATTGTTTTCTAGTTCTTTAAATCAAAATGATTTTATAACAATAATTATAAATGATTTCATGTTTGAAGTATACAATAATTTAGTATCAATATTGAATCTTTATCAATATTATATAAATACTGACAAAATAAACTTTGGTATAAAACTCTTAAAATATCCAAATAAATAAACGAAGTAATTAAAAAATATTTTTCTAATTTTTATCTACTCTATATCGTTTATATTATTAATCAAATATTGATAAAATATTTATGTCAGTAGACGAATTTATAATGAAGCTGTGGGATTTTTTTTATAGAATATTAGCCCTTTAATTACTTTCTTATTTATATGAAATCCAAAATAAAGATAGCTCAATTAAAAACGGAATTCTCTTAAATTATGTATTTGATTGAACGCACTTATAATCAGATAATTAATATTAATTATAAAAATTATAATAAATAGTTATGCGTCAATGTTTTTTTGTAAGTTAAATTATAATGACCCTTTTAATACAATTAAAGTAAAATAATTATCTTACCGTTTAATATATGTACCCTGACGCTGTTAGGATGGGCATTGCTGGGTGTACATGTATATAAGCCCGAGTCCTTCTGAATGGCCTTTTGAATTAGTAAGCGACTTGATGTTACTGGCCCTTTTTCAGTTATTAGACTAATGCCGCCTCTTGGTGAGTCAAAATTAATTGCCTGCAAATAAACAGCATCCAGCATCCATACGTAGATTTAAAATATTTTCCTTTGACTATTTCATAAATTCATAGTATTAATACTTTAATAAATGGACTAGATTACCCCATATGCTTATTTATTAAATGTCCTTGATCGATTAACGTAGATTGGAATTATAGTACAAGGTAATTGTGATAAACCCAGAATATTTAGTTTCGATTATTATATTTTACCTCCGATCAAATTCATGCATTCCTAACTGAAGAAATAAAGAAAATTATAAAAAAAATTGTTAATTCACTATTTGAAGTAAGCTAAGCATTTTAATTATATTATATTGCGTTTCCTCATCATGTGCAAGTATAATTTTAATTTGAAAACATACTCAAAATAATTTAATTACTATTTTAACACCATTTTTATATGTGTAAATTATAAATAATTTTAAAATCGTAATAATTTTAAGTTTTTGTATCACATGCAAATTTTACCAAAACCGAAGCTCTTTACTCTCATACGATCTGTTACGACATGAAGTGCACTTTCACATACCCCACTTAGTACTTCCATTTACCCCGTTATAACCATTTGCGCGCTCCTGCTTTGGCAGGTCATTAATACACATCCGTGTAGGTGACTATATATGAAGAAATAATGAAAATAAATAATATCCTTAATCGAGCAATTCATTAATTAAATAAATGATTATGAATAAGTAAATATAAATAAATAATTAATTGATTGTATCGTATACTAAATATATTAAAACCTGTGTGTTATCTATCATATTCACGTGAAATAAGAAATAATATTCTTCTTCCGTAACTTATGAAGATAACAATTTCAATAAAAAATGTCTGCCGGTTGTTTTACATTTTACCTTTACTATGTAAAAATTTTTCTCTTTATCTATTATATATTGTTAAGCTACACGTTTCGCATATGCGTTTTCATACATCGAGGGCACAACATCAATTTTTTCAAGGATAATGTGGATACTACTTCTACTATACCCAATATATATTGTAACTAAACTCCAGTAGAAATTCCTCCATCTTCTTAACCTGATCGATAACTATATTAATATTATTGAACTTACTGACGTCTATTTTTAAAAGCAAACTCTTGAAATTGGTTATAACATCAAAGCACAAGACCTTGCTACTTTAAAAGCTTGGTTCTCACGGCTTTTCCTCTCATAATATTTGCCATATACAATCTTTCTCTATCCACTGGTATCATAATGGCACAGAGCTGTTCAGTAAATCATCAAATTCAATTCAATTCATCCTCCATTCGTCCGATATCTTGGAAATTCAGTTAGCCAGACTATTACAATTTACAAAGATTTACATCTGAGGTAACCCCCTACTCTAGACTTTACTTGACATTGATAAAGTTTCCTCCTGCTTATTATAAATTCGTATTTTTATATTTTGTTTATTATAGTGCTTGTTTTTTTTTTTTTTTTTTTTTTTTTTTTTTTTTTTTTGACAAGTAAAGTAGATGGATTTAGCATACAATATGTAATTCAAAGCGCAGGAAGAAAGAGATTAAAAAGAAAAAGTGAAAGTAATATAGAACGTCAAAAAAAGAGAGAAAATGAGTCGGTAGGGGAGTGAGAGAAATAGAGTGAAATCTAACAACAAGAAGAAGCAGATATAATAGGATGTCGTTTACCCAACCCCTCAGTTTCTTACTCAACTTCCTCTACGATGACCCCTCGCTTATAGTAAGCCGCTTTGCAGTTTTTTAAACGATTTCGCTCTGATATTTCAATGGTTTATTTTTTATGATAAAATCACACAATAGAAATAAAAAAAATTCATTATTAGATTATCTGTTATTATAAACAACCACTTGATAAATAAATAAATATAAAAATATTTGTTAGCGATTTATTTATTCTGTTGTTATGAATATTATTTATATGATGTATATTTATAGCCCATTTAAGTAATATATCAATAAACTATAAAGAACAATTGAATAGAATAATCTGAGGCAATTAAATTGAATTTATTGTAAATTATCTTACAAATATGACAATTATATGACATCTTACAATATGACATCTTACAAATATCCAACCTGACTATTATCTTACAAACGTCTCACGTAATCACATACATATCTCCTCCCCCTCCCCGCCCCTCACCAACTCGCTCATCGTCGCTCTTTCTATTTCGATTTATCTATTCATCGACATTCTAATTCGCTTATTCATTATTTTTTATTATCAAGTAAATTTTGTTTATTAACCTAAAGTAAATCTTACACAAAAATAGTCTTATTTCTTACTTTTTCATTTTATTTGTTTTCCATGCTAGTTGCAAAATAATATAAAAACATCATTAAAGAATTCTAGAATTTTTAATAAAGATTAAACTGATAAAAAATTTAACATACATATTAGAAGTTATTTCAAATTTTATAATTATTTAAAAAAAATTAATTAATTTGTACTATAATTTTATAATTCATATGTTCTGAATATTAATATACGAGAACTTTTAATTCAAAAAAAAAATATATAGTAAAGTTATTATTCAAATTTTGTTGATTTAAATTACTTAAATTTTATTCATTTATTCGTATCGAATGGCCTGTATTAAATAAATCTGTATTAAATAAATAGAGCAGAAATGTAAACAACGATAAATATTATTCAACGTTTTAAATTGTTAAAAAAAAAAAAAAAAAAAAAACAATATTTAAGTATTAAGAATTAACTTGACGAACCTTTTGATAAAGATATCTGAAGAAGTCAGGCTTTAAAAAAATTAAATAAATAAAAATTGTTAAAAATTACAGTATCGAAAAAGTTTCTTATTTCTTCAAATAATTTGAAAAGAAAACATTGATATTGCTTACGATATTCGCTGGCAACTTTCTTATCAACATCTGAAACAATCTTTTCTAGAAAGGCAATTCTCCCGTTCTCTCGCTCTCTAAGTAAACTACACTATTGAACTGAAACTTTACTATCGTGAAATGTAGCCGCCGTCTATGAGTGAATCTCGAGTACTGAAAATCTGGATACGATTATCCAGTTAGACTAATAATGCGAACTCTTGATATTTTCTGTCAGCAATAGCGTAAACGTTCGCTAGTGATCGATATGCATCTGGATCGATCAAATCGACTTATATACATCAGATAAATAGATGTCGAAGTATTTTATTAGCTTATTTTAAATAACGTCTTTCCTGCCAGATAGTATTATTCATTATACGTTTTATTTTCTTATAATCAGTACGAATATAGAGTGCAATATCAACTTGTGGATTTATTCTCCACTTTTCTCAGTAGATCGTATAAGTGCACTTACTTCCTAAGTCTTCTTTTCCATTTCGTTGATTCTTTGATTTACATTATTTTATCCGGTGCTTTATTTCTTTACAAAAACATAAGTTGCCATCTAACATTCACAAATGTCTTTATGCTTATATTTATAAAATATTCAAACATTTCTCAATATCTAACTTTGTTTTAATGGCTCCCTTAAAACTTAACAGTCGGTTGCACAAAATTATATCTTTATCAATAATATATTTATCTTATGAAACCAGTTTATTTAATAAATGATTTTTAAAAATGTCCATTTTACCATTACCGTTCTTTTATGAAACTTATTTATTATTATTATTATCCGTAATTTATTACCTCATTAAATGTAATTTTACATAAATTCGGGATTTGCAACGACGTATGGATGTGGACCAACGCATGTACGTGTGGTCGCTTGGTCGACAACGACATATAGTCTACCCTTTATCTAACCAAACCTTATTAAAGAGAGACTCGTATCGCGCTGCTTATTCAGCATTCTCTAAAATTCAAATCAAAACTAAACATCGTAAGATACTCGTTCTTGCACAACTGTTAGTCATTTTATCATCTCCACCTGAACTAAGCAGCTGTTTTCTTATAAAATCTTCAACAAAGAAATCACCGCAACTCGATGATGGGACATTAGTTTTACAAAATGTTTTTTCAATTACTCTTAATACTTATAGTACTTCTTCTTCTTTTTTTCTTATATATATATATATATATATATATATATATATATATATATATATATATATATATAACTCTCTTTTTAAACTTTACTATTCGAATTTCTAATTGCTTGTACCATTAACAAACGTTACTTAATACAAATGACTCTACACTGTGGCTAATTTTGTCTTATATTTACATTTTTAATAAGTATAAAGTGTATTAATTATAAAATATTAATTTTATATTCTTTACTATTATCGCCATATATTTCTCTAATATATAATTTATTAATATTTCATATGTAAATAATTTAATATTAATTCCTTTAACAATTTCAATATTCAATTTCTTTCAGCTTTAAATGCAATTATTATACATATATACATATAATTATTACACAGTGTTTAAATTATAACTAATTATTTCAATGGTTGAACAAAATTTTATGTTTTTCAATATACCCACAATAAAATATTGTAATTATATATGTGAAAGACTCAACGGCTTAAACCAAGTAAATACAAAAACACTCATATTATCGAATTTACCTCTCTATTATGACTCCATATCATAGCTATTGGAGGTTCAGGTGCATTCTTTACCAAGCAGGTCAAATTGATGGTACTGCCTTTATTAATAAACAGATCCGTGCCACCGGCAATCTCGGTAATTGGTTCTGGAATGTGTAAGAATTAAACGAATTATTAACAAATTACAATTTTAACAAAAGTTAAAAAAATCCGAAAAGACAAAATTAATATGAAAGTAAAAATATAGGATGTATGTATATATGTGAAATATAATGAAATTTTAATAATTATTACAATTATAGAGATAAAGAATAGAAAAGAAAAGTCTTTTTGACAAAATTCATGCAGGAAAGGATACTCTGACGTGGCGATATTTACTGTCTATGTTTTCGAATATCTTATATTAATAAACCAAGTATTTTAAATAATTAAAATTTAAAAAACGATGTTATTTCGCGCAATTAAAAATGAAATGCATGACATAGTAATTAACATAAAGGATATGGTCGTATGTATATAATTTCAAAAATATTATAACATTAATGCTTCCATTTATTGGAGATATTCTTATAAGAATTCAATCCTGTAATTATTCTTTATTATTATCTTATAGATTTATCTATTCAATTTCATAAATGTCTATTTTATTACTCAGTGAAATCTATGCGAAAGCACAAATTTTTATATTCTAGTAATAACATAAATTTAATTTAAGCAATATCGAATACTGAAAATAAATTTCTAGAAATATAGATCCAAGTAACTTAGCCCCGGTAAATCGTAGATTTTCCAAAATATCTCGTATAATATTTCTGTGTGCAAGTACTTTGCAATTTGTACAAGTGTAAATGAATACGCGCTAGTGCAAGGTAATAAGGGACGGGCAAACGCTAAGTCAGCGTGGAAAAAACCTCCGCTGGGACCAAAGAACGTTGTGGAAGCGGCCAACTCGATCCGGAAAAGTCCGTTGGTTAAGGAAGATGAGGCAGCCCATCACTGGTCGGCTTTTACTTTACTCGATGGATCAAATTAGGCCATCTCAGCCCCAACGCATAACGGCATCCCAGAACTCATCGAGAGGAACGTGAAAAAGCATCGACAAGCATAAACATGCCGGATAGCGACCGAGAGGCAATCTAACCACCATGGACTCGTAATCATCGCGCGTGTCGTCATTATATTATTCACTCAGATATGTATTACATGCTATATACATAGCTGAGTGAATAATCTGCATTTGACACAAGAATATTTTCTGTTTACACGTATACCATATAATTACTAATTATTTAAATTACATTAATTTTTTAATTGAATGAAATTTAATGAAACGAGACTTAAAAGTGATTCACATTTTTTGTATAATACTCTTTATAAATTATAACCTTTTCATTTAATCCAGATGTGCATAATAAATTATTCAAACGGTTTAAACTATAGTATTTATCACATTATATTACATTAATTACTCTGATATATCATCTAATCTACGTCTATGCTTCAATCTAAAATACTCCATATGAAAAAATTAATTATTTTCACAATATAGACATTTATCAATGTGATATTTTATTTTTCCAACGTATACTTTACTAAAAAGTACTATAATTCTTTTTTAAATATAATTTTGTGTCAATATTTAAGTAACTGATAGTGAACTTTGAAATCTAGAAAAAAAACAATAAAAATGTTTATCAACATAAATAAGAAATTCTAAAATATATTTTTAACAAGCTGATACTGTACAGAAATATCGTACAGAAACAAGTATCCTGTAAAAATTGCTTTTTATAATAATAATTATGTCAAATGCATTGAATCGTCTATAATAACACTAAATATATCCAAATCCTCTTAAAAATAAACTATTTTAATAATATTTTATACTGGTCGCATTACAATAGATATTTACATCTTTCCGTGTAATTAAAACATTTAATTATTGTTTTCACTTCCTCGAAATTAATAAATATAAAGTCGTTATAGTTGTAATTGTTATTCAAAAATATTGTTAAAATAGTTCATGATTAAACATTCGCGATACATGAAGAAAATAATAGCGTATGATTACATGCTACATTACTTTACATATTATTACTATTATACTTTACAGCTATATTATAACAAAATATTATTATTCCTTTATTTCTTTTAAGATATTTATAAATTTATAATACCTTTATTTTACATCAACATTCATTGTTCTTTTATAATTTAAAAATATTTTATTGTTTAAAGTTTGAATCTTAGTTGCAAACATTTAACGTTCTTTTACCTTCTACATAATGGCATCAATACTATACAATACAACGGAAAGATCGTCTCGAAAATAAGAAGAGAAGATTAAAGCATTATTGGTGTATTTAACTTTCACTGAGAGTAGAAATTAGCGGGTATCAGCCTCATCAGGATAGTCAGAGAAGATTTCAACCAAGACAGAAGCTGACAGATTGCGTCAACAGAAAATATAATTCATGTTTTTCTTCACTTTCACTTTCACCAATTGTAAACGGCAAAAGTAGCTGGATCTCAAGGGCCTTCAATATGATCTATCTCATATCAATAATTCAAAAATATTTACAAGTTTTAACGGTATGTAATGAAAATAATAAAGAGTATATTTTTAATTATTATTCAAAACTATGTATATAAGATACATAAGATTGAAATTAAAATTTCAGTAGGTGTATATTTTTTAAGGCAAAAATTTCAATCAGACTATTTATAAATAATGTATTATTTACTAGTAGTCTTGTACCAAAAATATATTTTTGTAAAAGATAAGAAAAATTTACATGAAAAATTGTCTTATTCTAAATAAGATTTTATATGTAAATATGAAAACTTTGATTATCCAATGCAATATACTACAAGGAATACACATATTTTATAACTTGATACATATAATTTGTCAGAATGAAGACAGCAATGTCAAATAGGCATTTTCTTACAAAAAAAAGTACTACGTTTTAAGCTTCTAATAGGAGTTGTCACGTCAACGCCATCACGTTGAAGATATAAAAAATAAAATACGACGTTTTTCATTCATCGTTGTAGAACGGGCCAAGATTGCAGTGCCGACAGCGTAAAATCTGCCACCGTCAACCCCTATGAAATTTCAAGTTCTTATCGTACTTTGCTACGCGCCCTGACTATTACGACGGCTGTTCTTTCGACATTCCATTTTATTCTTCATTCTTCGTTCAGTCCTGATGACGCGAAAAAGACAAGTGCAATTGCCTGATCCACCTCCATTTTATTCATTTCGCTAATCTCACGCTGAAATTTGTCCCTATTCGTTCAATCTCCTCTATACTATATTATCTCTAGACTATATTATCTTATTGATATACGAATACTTTGATAAAAAAAAAAAATTATACATAAACCCATATAATTTCTTTAATATCGATACGACTATTAAATATTCCATATTTGTTGATTATTAAATTCTATCATTATGATTTTCAGACAAACTTTATTAAATACATGTTTCAATTATAAATTTTACTATTTTTTTTTTTTTTTATTAAATATGAAGATTACTTTAATATTTTAAATCATTTATTTAGGTATTAATTTTAGTATATCAATGGTATAATTTTTATTACAACAATTATATTATTTAACTCATTCGAATATCATCATTTTTCCTTTAAAAAACTCTTCACTTCATTCTCATTCATTCACAGGGTACACGTTAAATTAACATGTAAAATTTAATCTATTTTACAATATTATAAATGTCTATATATAGATTTATATACATACATACACACGCGCGCACACGCGCACACACACACACACACACACACATATGTATATATATATATATATATATATATATATATATATATAAAATTATAATTTAAAGAAGACATATTTAGAAAGATTAATGTTATTGTAATTGTGCAAGAAATATTAATCGATTTTTTTGTTAATATTATAAAATCATATTTCTATTATTAGAATCTAAAACAATATTAAATACTTAACCATAGTAGTAATATATTTTTTTTCAAGTCACTACTGAACCTACACTATTCAATTTGAAATGACGTTAACATTTGAAATGTGCTATCTAACCCTGAAAACTCAGATATTTCTCATTCTGTTTCGTGTACTCCTTTCATTTTTTTTTTTTTTTACATGTCTTTATATTCCTCAAATTATTTACAATTTTCGAACCTACAGTTCTACAGATGTGTGTGAAAATCTACAGATTGTCAATCACTCATATTATAACCAATTATTCAATAATTAGCATACTATTATTATTAAATAATAATTACTTAATAGAGAAATTTTTATTTGTGTAAGATTACTGATATCTATATTTATATAAAGCTAAAAAACATTTCTGAATTTAAACATTTCACTATCTCAATTATTTTATTTTTATTACCAATCTTCTAATATTTTCAAATTAAATAGAAGAATATAAGAATAAAATAATCCAAAAATAAAGAACATTATTTCATACTTATTGCTATCAGTATATGTGTATATATATATATATATATATATATATAGGCATAACAGTATGTCACTTTAGTACTAATAATACTCTTACAACACTATATGTTCAATATTTAAATCGAACTTTGATGACTAATTTAAAGTACAAAATTAATCTACAAATGAATATCTATTATTACATTACAGAATACAGAATATTTTATGTTACATATAAATAATAATATATGTGTGTATATACATATATATATATATATATATATATTAACAAGCAAAATTCAGTATTCTAATTTATATGAAAAATTTATAACATTATTAATTTTTTTAATTCCAAATTAGCAATTATAATATATAATTTTTAATAATAAATAACAAATGTCTTACAAAATTATGTTACATTCAATAAATGCTTATCTACAATAAAGATATACAGTGAAGTTATGAAATAAAATTGATACATACGGAATTTAATCAATATTTATTATGATTATTCTAAAGTTTATAGTATAACCGTGGTTAATTATAAAGTAATTTTATAAATGAAATTGTATCTGTAAATATATAATCGTTTTTGTAATTAATCAAATCGATTATAGAATTGTAATTTGTAATATTTAAGGATTATTTCTCTATAACATAATTTGTTCGATTCAATATTATTGATATTATTAATTAATCGTAATTGTGCAATGGACTTAATATTTTAATATTATCATACTATTTAAATTATTTTAAACTTTCAATGTATTATGATATTTAAATTTTGTATCTAATTTTTATTATTTTTAGTTTTTTTCTTAGATCTCACCTATTTTTCGAATAGTTTTATTGTTCACATTGAGAATAAATTATTTTAAGATTATAAAAGTTAATAAACCTTATATTCATAGTTTTACTTCAAATACAATTAGTACATATAAAAACCTATATATATATATATATGTGTGTGTGTGTGTGTGTGTTTATGCACATTAATCAAACAATATTTGTCGGAGTGTAATTCTTTTGAAATATACTTTCAATTAACTATAATTTGTAAACAATATTATATATAAAACCACTTTTACTGAATTTTAATGATTCAAAAGAAGAAAATAATCTAAATCTTAATTCATTTTTTTATAAATATTATCTTGTAAATGTGATAAAATATTGAGTGAGTTAACTATAATTATTAATTTATGTTAGATTTAAGGTATCTTATATTATTATTTTATTTGAGAAAAGTAAATTATTTTTATGAAAATATTCTACAATTATAAATATATATATATATATGGAATTGAATCATATTTGTTTGATTAGTTAAAAATTCTTAGGATGTTATCTATTACATATATATATATATATATATATATATATATATTAACCTTGATGATTGATAAATTTAGGTGCAAAGTATTTTTGTAATTCTAAAAAGCAGATAGTACTTCAGTATGTAACAGTAGGTGAGAGGAAACCTCCGACTGTTTACCCTCAGGATAAATTTGCAGCTGAATAGTTCATTCTTTTGTTCTCTCTTATAAGGACGAATTTAAGCTACACAATCCATTGCATGTCACCTTGAGAAAAGTCCGTTGTATTTATAGCTCTGTCTGTATTTCATTGTACTTTTACATTTACGTGATGTAAATGAAAGAGAGAGAGAGAGAGAGAGAGAGAGAGAAAGAGCGAGAGAGAGAAAAAAAATCCAATATGATAAAATGAGTGGAATGTGTACAAAAAATATTAGAATAAAATGACGTAATCAGTAATATAGCGTTGAAATGAGGCGATCTCTCCAAACCGAGACTAGAGAGAGATAAAAAGTGTCGGCTAGGTAGTGGTAGACATAGATGACAGCAAGGCAGTGCCGATTGTAACGATGCTGATTGTCGTCCCGTCTTATTATGCCAATCGCTGAAGGGGTTGTTTATAGAACTATCCATTTTCGTATATTTTTAAATCTCAAAGACGATATTAGCCGTTCCAATTTTACTACTTTCCTCCTTTTTGCACTCTGCAGCTCAGTTTTAAATATTTCTTCTCTCTCTGTACTTTTATCATTCCTTCTTCTCTTTTTCTAGTTTTTCTTTACTGTACATAGAACGCAATGAATCCCCGTAGGCAGTAAGCACATTGAAATTACTCTGCTTTAGGCTCAATGTGTTATGATATATTACTATTTACCAATATAAATATATTGTCAAAAATAATCAAATTAGTAATATATATTTTTTATATTTACAGGCGCTATATATATTAACACAAATTCTCTGTATAATATATAAAATTCCATTATTCTGTATTTTATATGATTATTATGAACTGATAAAATAGCAAGGAAATTTTATATAAAAAATATTTTACTAATGTAAGGAATCAATTTCTTATTAGTAATTATTAATTATGTATGTTATTATTAGTAACATATAACTTAGTAAACGACTTATTTAAGCATTAATTAATATATTCTAGAGAATATTAATATTTTACCGTATGATGAATTCGATGATTGGAAATGCAATATATTTCTTGTAGCAAAGAGATTCGCCAGGTAATGATCTATCACTATAGATATCTTTAAGAGCTTCGATACTTACAGCGATCTAATAAATTTATCTATCATCCACGAAATATAGATATATAAGGAATAAAATATACATATAAATATTACACGAAAGTAATATTTATTTTTTAAAAATAATTGCAGAAATCATAGATGATTAAAGGTAATATCGATGATTAAATAATTAGATAATATATACAATCTCTTGTTCAACAATAAATAGAAATATGGAATAAATGTTACATTTCCATGTAGGATATTGTAATTACGTACTGTAACATAAAATAATGTTAACAATTTCATTCTGATTTATATTTACACCAAAGTCTTATGATTTTTTCCATTCTGTCTTGTGATTGTGATTTTGAACTTTCTTTTCTACTTGAATTGTTCTTACTTTTCAATTGTATTAATAAAATATTGGTATAGTGTTTCCTAATATATTTAAATAATAAAGTCCGCATAATTAATTTTTTTCATTCAATTTTTATCTAAACAATAATTAATTTTATGTCTATACTTATTGTTAATGAGGGAGGATTTAGAAAAAAGCTTTATTTTTTATACATTAAAACTCATAGAAACGATTGGACATAAACATATTATCTAAAACAATCAAATTCAACAAAAAAAACAAAATTCTAAATAGGCTTAGCAGTTTTGTTTCAGTTTTATGAATAAAAAAATTTATTTGCATAAATATGTAGCTATATTGACTTATATAAAAATTAAATTATTAAAAGATCGATTAAAACAATAAATTATCATTGAATATTAATAGCTGGAAATATTCTTTCAATAATTTACTATTCGTATCTACAATAAACGGTCCAGCTAATATTTTAAGTATTATTATATTAAAAGTAAATTAAAAGCAAAGACAAAGATGTGGTCTTTATTTTTTGAATAATTGTTTAAATCTATAAAAAAAAATTTTACGAATATATTAAAAAAAAAAATTGATTTTTTTTTTCTTCTAAGTCACATACTTATAAAAGGATGTCATTTATCTGACTCGCCTTAACTGCTAAAGAATAAGTAGAAATTTCGCAAGCAATTAAACTATTTTACCGCAAAAGACTCTTAAATATTTGTACAATATAAAAAATGTAAAAATATAACTCGAAAACTGGCAAAACTAAATTAAAAAAAATCTCTGGAAAGTACTGAGTATTTTTTTTTATAAAAAAGGTTAATTAGCACTGTAACTATGTCAAAACATTTATATATATATATATATATATGTACATATAGATATTACAGCTATAATAATATTCTCATTTACCTAATCATAGCTGCTACGTATTATATATAAAGGGACACAGTAAATAAAGTGACGCTTTAAATATACAAAATATTTTTATATAACTAATTTAATCTAAAATATAAGTCACGTTTAATAAAAAATTATTATGCAAAATTTTAATCAATAAATTAAATTCTGTGCAATACTTTCTTGTGTTGTATTATTGTTTATTGTACAACAATAAAGTATTTTTAAAATATAAAAATTCTATAAAAATAAAAAATTTTAATTGGTTGTTAGTCATTTGACATGAAAAATCGTTATTATAAAAATATAAAAAAAGAAATGGTTAATGCACTTAATTAATACAAATATATAAAATCTATATAAATATTTAATTTTTATTTATTTATAAGTACAATTAGACTTTTCTAAGAGCCTTCAGTAATTATAGTTATAATCAAATTTAACTTTCTTCTATCTCATAATTCTGATTTATGCGAGAGTGTGCACATGTGTTATACATAAGAAGAATTGGTATTTTAAAATTATATGTATCAAGTCTGCTATCATTCTGCTTAATTACTAAATTATTATTATTTTTTTAATAAATCATAATAATTTATTAGTTTCTTTCGTTTAGCTACATCCTATGAAATGTTCTTTTTAATAATTAATTAATAAATATATTTTATTTTTATTAAATATATAAATAAATATATTTTTATTGCTTTCCAATAAGATATTTATACATTTTTTTTTATATATATTATAGTTTTATTATTTATTATTATATATATAATATTAGTTTTATATATTACAGAATATTACTTCAATCAAACGACAATAAATTTAAAGATACTACTAAATTTTTAGTATAATTTACATATTAACTTCATTTCTTTTTTTTTTTTTTATAAAGTAAAACTATTATAACTAATTACATAAATTATAAAATATAAATTATCTGTCTGATACATCTGAAATGTATGTATATATGATTATAAATTCTTTTATAATAATGATAATTCAGTCGTATAATATAAGTATTAAATCATTATTCATTTGCAATATAAATATTGAGAAACAGTTTTAATGCGGTAATAGAATTATGAAACATATGAAGAAATTCTTTTTGAATTAAATTTATATTATGAATGAGCAGGAGCCAACATTAAGTGAGACCTATTTAGCAGCAAATGTCGTATTGATTAATTTTTCCAGAAGTATAAAGTATATTTTCTATGCGCAGAATAATCATAAAACGAGTAATAATATAATTTTTAGTATCTTTCGAAATGTATGATAAGATCATATAAACAATGGTTTAAGCTCAATCTTAATGAAAAATGAGATAATTTTCTACATACATTCTACATATCTAACTTTCAAACTTAATGCTAATAAATAATCGTATAGAATATGTCTTCGATAAATGTTTCAATTGGTGTATAACTATATCTCTAATTAATTTAAATGATTGTTTAATGCATTTTCCTATTTTTTAACTTGCACAAATGTTTTTGTACACAGATAGTACATTTAAATTTATAAAAATACATTTGTAACATGAATAGATGAATTATATTATAATTTATGGTTGTTGATTTTCGTTAAAAATTATATAATGAAAACTCACCAACAACAATCAAGTGAACCGAATGACCAATTGGCGGAGTAGTAGATATCTGACATTCGTAGATTCCTGTATCCTTGCGCTGGGGATAACGTACTCTCAGAGTCCATTCTTCACTATGTGGAGCATGAAGTGCTTCAAAACGTTGGTCGCTAGTATAAGTGTAGCGACCTACCGTTAACAAGTGAATGTCACGATGTCGTACCCATGATACCTAAAATAACATTAAAATTTGTTTTAAAAACTTGTTTCAATTTGTAATTAAAAAGTAAAGCAAACAGAAGAATTTCATTCAACAAAAAGAATATAACCCCAATAATTGCAATTTCAAATAAATTGAGAAATTATAAACTTTTAATTTCATTTTTAAATAAATCAGATGCAGAATTATAAGAATTATGTTAAACTCGACGAGACAAAATTTTTAGCAATTTGTCGCTAGATATAACGATATATATGTTTCATAGTTTTCAAGTAATTTTCATTTATAAATATTACTGCAATGACTAAAACTACTAAGCTAAGCAATTCTGCCCTATTCCTATTGATTTTTAAATATAATTATTGAGATAATCTTTTGCTGCATTAAATATATTTGTTTTAATTTTTTTTTTAAAATTACTTCCAATAAAATATCTAAATTTTATCAAATAATAATTTGTTGGTTCATATGAATATTGTATGAAGTCATTATATATCTATTGTATATTAAATGTATTACGAAATATTAAATATATTAATTCGAAAAAATTTTAATATAATATATTATATATATATATATAATATTTTATATATATATATATATATATATATATATATAAGTTTAATAAATGTCTGTAAATATTTCACAAATGCTGTCAATAAAATTATCTTTATGTTATCATAAAATTTTGATGATAAATTAATTTACGTAGCCATCATTGTCAAACATGGAATAACACGTTATATGTACGAATAGATATTCTTTTCTCTGGGAATGATTGAATTTTATTCGTATATAATTTACACATGGACCGTGAAATATTATGTTGTGAATCTATAGTAATTAACTACTGAATATATTGTGTTACTATAGTCTTTTAAGTCGTGGTTTGAAAATTTTAAGTTCATATCATTTTATAATATTACATTAATTACTATTAAAATACATTTAATAATAATCACTTAATAACCTTATACCTATCATTTAAAATATTTTAAAATAATTTTAACAATAACCATAATAATAATTAATGTAAATTTCATAATATAACTTCATTGTATCTTTAACTACTTTTTTTAAGATATCAAAAATATAAAATTTTAAAAAAATTACTTATTCTAAATGTTTTCATGTAGAGCTCCATACAATATTCAAAGCACACAACACACAAAAATGATTTAGTATAAAAGTTGTTAATATATATATATATATATATATATATATATATATATATATATTAGTAAATTGTCTATGTAGGTATGGATAGGCAATAATTAGTGCATCATGCATCATTAATCATTCCTCTACTCATGATTAATCAAATATATTGATCCACTAGTAACTTCTTGAGATACTTTGAAATAAATGTACCATGTACCAATGTATGTTGGTACTTATAAATGTACCAACATTTATACTACCGTCGATAAGTTACGGAATATAAATAAAAATTGTATTTTTATAAGAAACGTAATATTAACTACTATAAGAAATTTCATTCTGACTTACCGTTCGATTACCAAGGTTTTTTACTTTACAGATTAAATGTACGGTTTTTCCCACAAGCCCCGTTACATTTATAGACGCCGTAGTGTCAAAATACGGGCCAGTGTCTGGAATTGGCCAATCTTGAAGATAGTCTGTTTTAAACTGACGAAAAGTTTGTGCCGATGACTCTAAATACACACGCACACCCAAACAAACAAATAAACAAGTATATATAAATATATATACGATAATAAATTAATATATATTTATTAAATATAGTAATGTCATAAAGTAAAATAATTTTGATAACATTCATCTATAGATTAACTATTAATATTCAAGGTATATATCTATATAAAATATTATTTTTCCCCACCTTATCTATGATAATGAAATTACTTAAAAGTAATGTATCAGAATATATATTGAAAATGGACAAATGAAAATATATATCATTTTAATTACTTAAAAATAAGTTATACTAATTATAGTAACGTTATATTAAAAATTTATATATATACGAACAATATTATAATAACACAATAAACGTTATAAGTATTGTGAATGTATCATCAACTTATATGTCACCTGACCTGAATTAAATGATATGCAACGAGTGAGAAGAATCTTTTAAATAAGAAAATCCCAATAATATATAGTTAGTGAGTTGTATAACAGTCGACGTTCGTTATTCGTTTTTCATACTTTAATGATGCTACAATATCAATGAGAATATTGAAATGTAAAATTTTAAATAGCACAAACTATTTTACGTGAACAAATTTAATCTAAAAACAGTTTACTGTTATCAATAACAAGTAGTAAGATTTAAAAAATTAACTATTTATTTATTAAACTAACATTTATAAATATCTCAAACTCTTTTCTTTAACGCTTTTTTAATTTAGAATAATTCTTAAAAACTAATTGTCATTACCTTTTGATAAAACTATAATGTTTACAATCAATGATCCGTTTTACTTTGTTATTCTATCTATATATTTTAATAAAGTAAAAAACTTCATAAAAGTATTCTTTAAATAATATGAAATTTTCTTTTATAATATTTTTTTGATCAATGAATTGTAACGAATTTTATCGACAGCAAACAACATATTATTTCAACTATTATTTTAACTATTAGAAAAATCTAATTTTTAATTCAAGCATATTCAATCAACGTATGCTCAAAATTTCATCTACTAACAAATGGTGATTACGACTGTGAAAAACAATATATCTTATAAATTTCCTTTAAACAATCCATAAAATTCAAAATCGTTCATTAAATATTTTTCAATTAAAACTAAAAAAATTAAATATTAAAATTCAGTATAATGCTGCAAATAGAAGTAAAATTTAATGAATCGCTTAAAAACACTAGGGATTTTTAAACATTTTTAATTTCGATATTTAATACGATAATTGATAGTGATTATATTATTTATAGTACAATAGTGGTAACATTGAAAATCTTATTAGAAGTCATGTTTAACATTTAAATTAGTATCTATAAAAATAGAAAAAAGTAATTTATTCTAAGCATACAAAATTAAGTTAAATTTTGTCAGCTAGTAACGAACAAATTATATTTTGTATCCATAAGAGATAAGATTTTCATGCATAATGTAAATGATCACATATTTTATTTAAGTGTATTATATTACTATAATTGCATATTAGTTTTTTCAATAAAATTAATGACTATATTCAAAAATTAAATATAAACAAAGTATTTTCATAAGATAATAATATAATTTAAAAAGTGCATTTTAATAATCCAAGTATAAAATATAATACGTAATAAGTTTATTTAAAAATAATAACTTAGAAAGCATTTTATAATTTAATTTTTGCTTCAGATTATCTTCGCTTATTATAGAAATAACTTTGTATGGACATTTATTATTATTAATAATTATTATACGTAGTCCTTATAAAAAATTTTTAAATAATTTCATTGGCCATATATGTTCATTAAAATATAATTTTACAATTCTTCTAATAGTTAATTACTCTAAATATTTTTGTTATCAATGTATAACTTAACATCAGATGAATTTAAAAAGATATATATTATTTTTACATTTTCACAATTATATAAATATATGTTTATATAGCTAATATAATTAAATGACAATTATTATTAAATAGAAAATATGAAATAATAATATAGTTGTCTAAATCAATGAGCTATAAAAAAAAGAATTTGAAAAATAAAATTCAGAAGTATTAAAACAATTATTAGTGTAAATTAAATATCTTTTCTTGGATTCTCAAATGATTATATATGCAACTACTTTCAGCGTGTGAAAATACATTATCCATCCTTAGTACCTATGAAATATAATTAATTTAATAAGAAATTCTTGCAAGCAATAAAATAATGATCACACTCTATGTAATTAAATTTACCTACTGATAACTGATATTGTCCATAATTAAAATAATAAAGATAAATAATTATTAAATTTTCATATTTACATTTTTTTTAAATAAAAAAATTATTAAAAAATATTAATTAAAAAACATATACAGATTTTAGTGATAATTTAAAGAAAAATCCGAATATCTAGGATTATTATGAATAATTGTTGTATTAGTAATAAAAATATATAATAAAAGTATCAAAATTTCAAAAGTCAATCCTTGGAAATTGTATAAACACAGACAATTGTAAAACACAGAATAACAGATGAATGACTAAGGAATCACAATATATAACCATTTACCATCCCTCTCATATGTGATAATCTTGTTTCATTTCGTAGAATTGTAAAAAAGATTGTAGAAGTATCATCTTAATACTGCAATATAATGTAATTATAAATTTTTCTTAATTGCAAATAAATAGTGCAGGAATGATAGGAATTTCTGGATATAAAAAAATTAATCGTTCAAGAACATACATAAAAAAAATAGTATTATTATACAAATAATACATTATATGTAGACTATAGGTATTATAAAAATATGATAAATGTTGTCGTATGTCACATATACAGTATCTTTATAAATTTTCCGAAATTAAATGTTTAAAATTTCCAATTTATAATAAAAGATAATCAAAAATGAATGTAGATATAAATAATTTCAACAATCGGCATAATAAGGAACCATATTATTTTAGGTACAAAACATATAAAATTTTGTTAAAGATAACTTGCGATAAATAAAATTATTTTTAATAAAACTAAATAGAAATATTATAAATAATTTAATATTTATATTTATATTTATAAAAAGTTTAAACAACTGTTTTTTTTTCAGATATAAAAGTATTGAAGAATTTTTCTCTCAAAACAAATTTATACTCAACGATTCAATAGATTCTAGGATTTTCTCAATTGGATGTACATAACTATATAAGTTGAGGATATATTCAAAATTAAGGCTTAGGCGCTGTCTTTGAAAGAATAAGTGAATGAGTAGCAACGAATCCAATCCAACACGTAAGTAATTATGTAGTTCTTGAAGTTTTGAAGTAAGAAAAAGAATTTAAGAGGCTGCCAATCACATTTAAAACCCCAAATCTTTAGTTTTAGTGAACATAAATTCATTATCTATAATAACATAAAATTCTGTGTAGACGGCGAGTAATATAATTTCATCATTACTGCTAATAATAATTATAATTATACAGCAATATAATCATGTGATTTGTTGCTGTTTGCTGTATTTCTATATAATTTCATTGTTTAATTAACATTAATTAAATTAACTTTGTAATCTTAAATTAACTCTCTATTTGGAGCAAACTTGTAAAAACGTAAAAACTTTTTAAGATATAACGAATAAAATTTATACTCGTCTTTACCATTTTCTCTAACATGTTTTCTGTACTGAACATACAATAATATTAAGGATTAAATTAAAATAATTTTCAATTATGTGGGGATCGATGTCAAAACTATTTTCTAATAGATATATTATTAACTATATATGAAATTAGCAAAATTTTGTAATTCTAAATGTAAAAAAATAATTCTAATTCAAATGAAATTGTATTTTAAAATTATACAATATGGTTTAAAGTTATGGTTTAAAAAATATTCATAGATATAATTAAATATTTAACAAAAATTATAACCTTAAATTTCAATAAATAAAATATCCTATAATTAACCGATAAACCGTTGTTTTACTTTAAAACTACCGGTACTAAACACATAGATAATAATTATAAAAATTATGTTGATTATCAACTTTTTAACATAATTAATTCATCATACTTATTCTTAGTGATTATAGTAAATGTTTAAAATACTCAAATAATTCACTCTGCCAAGTTCCATCATTACATTATTAATCTATTAAAGCTAATATTATGGTGATTTAGTAGTAGTTACATTTACATATATTATTATATATTTTTAATTTTCAATTAATGAAAAATATGTTGTAGTAGGAATTTTTTCATACAAAAAATTGGCCAATTTCACTACAATGAAAGAATTGATATTTGACTCTACATAACACTTATCTGCTTAATTAAATTAAAATATACAGAAGCATAAATAGACTAAACTTAATTAATTATTAAAATATAATTACTTGATTATATTCAACAATATATTTAAAAATAGCTTTAATGAGGAATAAATTTCTATCGATATTAATTATATTTTTATTAATCAATTACATGTTGATTATTGATTGATTGTTGAATATTGATTAACAATTGAATTGAATTGAATATTGATGATAAATTACATGTTTGTGCGTTACAGTATCAATCGTCATTATAAAAGTCAGTACGAATTAACTCTATAATTTGTAAATTTCTATCCCTTTCCAATGTTCAATAATGCAGAGCAATTCTCCATCTCGTTTTTTTTTTATGCTAGCAAATTTTTTGATATCGTGGTTCCCAACTGAGCCACTTTTTCCAATACGACTGACAAAGTATTTGAACTTACCTGATTCATTTTGATCAATAATGACACCATTACGTTTTATAATAGACATTTAATAATGTGAAATGGTTTTTTTTATGCTTTTTTCTTTTGTAAAAACGGACTACGAATAGGAGATATTTTTTATTGTTATCTACGAGTGGTTATTTTACTACAAAAAAAGAAAATTATTTATATTCGGCAAAAGGATTGAAATTAAAATATTTTATTTAACGGTATTAGAATTTTATTATGATACTAAAATCTTTCATTTTTTTTAACTTATAGCTTCCTTTTTAAATGTTAAATGTTAAAGCTTCCTTTAACGAATTGTCTTGCTTTATAATTTCCTTATCTCTTCTAATGATACAGGTACAAAGCATTTATTTTACATTCTTTCACATTGTTGGTAAATAAGTCGCAATATAGGCAACTAAATTTTTTTTTTTTTTTTTTTTTTTTTTTTTTTTTTTTTTTTAAAAAACCTTTTTTTTGGGAATTTTCTTTTTATTGGAACTATTTATGTTCGATGAAAAGCTGCGTCCAAGCCCATATTTCACTAGTCTATCTTAAAATGTGGCTCAAAATACATGTCTATGTTGTGTCTCTTACTACTCGTGATATAGCTCAAGTATTACTTGATTATATTTGGATCAGAGTCTTTTTTTATAATATTTTTAGAATGTTTATTATTTGGTTAGCCATGGTCGCCGATATCACACTTCACAACAATTATTTTAAAATAATTTTCACAAATAAATATATTATTAAATAGTTGATTTTTCTCATAATTCATGTTTTTTTTTATTTTTGCTTCCGTAATAACTATCAAAAATATTTTTCCTCTGCTTTCGAATTCGAATAAAATATAAAATTAAATATAAAAAAAAATGTCATTTATACCGATTAAGGCTGAACAACTATCCTCTCCAGATTATTTAGCAATTACATGAATTTTTTATCGACTTGTCTAAATACATGAAATATTCGTGAAAGCTGCATTAAGAACCTACTAACTAGTTATTTTATTCAAATTTACTATTCCAATATTTATCCATGTACTGTTTCCTTTATCACTAGAATTATTTGTTGATAATAATAATGCATTTAATCTGCCTTAGACATACTTTTAAGTTCTTTCATAGCGAGTGAAGAGTTTTAATTATCGTTTGTCTTGCGTAATTTAATTAAAACACATTCTGATGTACAATCAATTTAAATTATCCCCATTGCTACCTGGAATTTTACACGATATAAGTTGCATTGTTCCATTTTCTTTATATACATGTCGACTTTCTTCCAATTCTTTAAATTGATATTTGATCTATTTTTTCTTTGCAGCAAAGTTCTGTGCTATTTATTATAGTGTACGATATTTGTTTCATTTTTGAAAGGAGATAATAATACCAAGAATTTCAAGAAAATTTCATTAAAATCACTTGCTTGATTCTTAGTGCTTTAATATTTATGATTATAAGTCACTATGCCATTCGAATCATAATTTAATTATGTTAAAATTAGGAACTTAGCTAAGCATTTGAGAAAAACAATTCTAAAAATTAATCGCTTAAATAAAAATAATAATGACAGAATAAACCAATTACAGAGTGATAAAAAAGTTGAACGCAAAAAATAATTAAATCAACTATTAGTTTCAAAATATCTTTCCATAAGAAAAGAAATGAAACATTCAACCCCTTAAACAAAAATATTTTCAAAATAAATTAAAAAAAATTGTAAATAAAGTTATTTGTTTATTATAACTAATAAAATATTTTTTGTAAATATTATTTCATTAAAATGTTAAAAGAAATTTTCAATAATACAGCACTTTTAAATCTCGATTCTTTTTTACTTTTTTATTCTTTTTCAGGAGAGATATAAAATTTTTCAAACTTAAAATAATTCTACAACTATAATTGAAATCGAGGTTTATTTACAGTTATATATTCTAATATTTTTGATGATCAATTGAATCTTGCAATCAGCAGTTTTCTTGAAAAAGAAGATTCAATGACGTTGGCTTAGCAATAGATGCTCTCTCATTGTCTTGTCGAATATTAAATTGCATAAAATATTATTTGAATCGATTCAATGATAATGCCTACATATTGGAGAGAAATATTGCATCGTTGAAAAGCATTATTTTAGTGATGATTATTATAAGATAGTCAAAAGGTATATAATACTCTTTTGGTTGATTTAAGTAATAGCGGTTAGTATTTAATACATCAATGAATCTGTATTTCATAACTAATTTGACAAGAGTTATTTATAATAATATTTGGCTCACTCACGCCCATTACTAATATATCCAATAAAAATGAAGATATTTATATTATCGAATTATAATCGAGATAATTAATTTCTCCATTTTATATAATTGAATTAAGAACATCTTTTGAAATTCTTTAACTATAGGTATATATGTTTTTAATTCTTGTAAAAAGCTGAATATGTAATTTATTCTACAATCATAAAAAAAAATTATGATTTACAAGTTAAAATGAAATAAAACTGTGATTTTAAATTTTTATTATATTGAAATATATTTTAAATTAGAAATAAATTTATTCCTTTTATGTTTGAATTTTCATATTCTATTCAACTTGAATATAAATTATATAAATTATTTTAAAATATAGACAAAATAAAATAATGTCATTGAAAATAGTTTGTTAATATATTGTTAATATTCGCTTAGTTCGGCGTTTTTATGACAAAAAAATTAAACAATTAAAAATGATGTTGCATAACTATTAGTATTAAAAATTTGAATTTTGAAATAACTTAAAAATTATTCGCAAAATATACATTATGTGAATAAATTTACTGTATTATTAAACTGACTTTCATATATAAATTATTAATATATTAATTGTTTCTTTTAATATTATAATTGATCCAACTGAGCTAAATTTTTATTCAATCCATTTGATGAGTTAAATTCATTCGTATATAAAAATAATAAAAGAAATGTTTGATGGGAATCGAGAGTCTCAAAGTATTTGTCACGGATATCTTAATTAAATATATTTCGTACAAAAAATGAAGTTGACGTTTACTCTTCCATACATAATTGGATTTATTCATATTTTATTGATATATATATACATATATATATATATATATATATATGAAATTATGTAGTAAAAATTTCATATTGAATAAAAGTCACTAAATTTTATTATATAAAAAGACTGTCCTATACATTTCAATATTTAGGAGAATAGTAGTAAGAAATAGATTAGTACATAGATAACATAGATTAGTAAGAAAATTTTAATATTATACAACACTGAATTTGTTAAACTAATTAACAAGCAAAAACTACTGCATTAAATATTTATAATAAGATTAATTGTAAGAAAAAGTAAGAAAAAATAATATAATTATCAATTAATAAATAATAATTAATTAAATAACTTTCTGGCGTTTGTTACGCATTATTGTTGTTTGTGAACAATGTTTTAATAAACAATTTTTTTTAATCTAAAGTATCTTATAATATATGTGTAGAGTTTAACAATAAAATTAATCAAGAGTATGTAATTCAGAATGTGGCTTCAGATTATTCACTAATTTATTTGTCTTACAATTACCAAAGTGAATAAATTGTATTTTGAATATACTCACCAAACAAAATAACTCCATAAAAAATCACAATTATCATGATAAAGGAAAGTCGATCATTTCTGATACTATTCGATCGATTTTTATTCCACGTTCCTTTATTAGCCCATTGCTGTATGGTCATCTCACTTTTTCAATATAATTACTCCAACTTATGTAATAATTAGTTTTATTGGTCCTAATAACGCTTTTTGTTATTTAACCTTTCTAATTTTCATTGAGTTGGCTACCTAGAAAAAAATCATTATTGATTCATCATATTATAGGATAATTAAATTATACTTTGAAATTTTCTCATATTATAAACTGTTTTCATAATTTTGTTATGTAGTGTTATAAATAATTATAGTGAACCTAACAAATTAACAGTCACTGTAAAAAAAATTGCCAGTATTATAAAGGTATTAATTATAATTTTAATGGATCATATAAGGAGAAAGAGGGAAAATCTGATATTAGTAATACGCTCATTCGTATTTGTTATCGCAGTTCTCAACATTGATTTGATCTCGCCTTTTGAATCACAAAATCGTGTATTCGTGAGATGAATATATCTCGTCATTATACAATACATTTTCGAAACTACAGTTTTGTCGCTTTGTCAATACTTAACATTGTGGTGGTATTAATTAAAAAAAAAAAATTTTTTTTTAATCAAAATTGTAATTTTTCGTATGATTTTTACTCAGTAATTTATATATAAGTATTTACTGTGTATATTTTTAAATGTTGTCTACTTATCAATATTCATTATAGATTTTTGTTCAAGTTCACTCGTACTGTCAGGCTGCTGTCCCATCACAAATCGACGGTTCATCGACGGTGCTATCATTAATCTCATCTTAATTGTGGCTTATTCTGCCGTTTTACTTTAAACTGAATTTCTTGTTCGTTTCTATACTTATCACATATATTACAAGAATGCATAACATTGGTGTTCCTAACTCGATACCAGTTATTAAATTCCTAATATTATATTCCTAAATCGATACCCACTCGATATCAGGTAATTCAGAGGAGGCATAAGAACACGGTCTTCCTATCTTTTTTTTTTAATTTTAGATTAAATGGCTGAAGATTAATGCATCTACATTACAATTTTTCTTGCTGGTCTGACTTTGTTCAATGCTCACGTTTACTAAATCCAGAAATTCATAGTTTAACACATTTTTAACGGTAGGTGAGATTTTTTACCTTTTCCGGTGAATATCGAAGTTTCAAGTGAGTTGTTGACGAAGATGTGTAACAATTACATAGATCCGCACTCTGTTTTCCTCTAATTTTCATTAAACTGGTATTTCATCTCATGACCATAGTTACCGAAGCTACTTGTTCTAGTGGCTGCTTTCATCAACTCAGAAAATACTCTTTCTCTTGAGTTTTCGGTCTGTTCCTTATCATTAATGTTTCGGCATTCACTTTGTATTGAAGCTGGAATATATTCTATTCAGTTTGCTTGTGTGTGTCCAACTCTACATTTTAGGTTGCCAAATCGCATACATATAATAAACATAGATGCGGCTCATTATCATCATAACATTATTATTTTTAAATGGGTTCACATTCACATATTTTAATGATAATGAAAAATTGAAATATAGAAAATATATATAATACAAGCAAAATATATTGGTAATATATGGAAATTAGTAATAACTATAAATCTCGACTATTAAACGAAATTTAGCAAATTCGAAAGATGAGACAATTTATAGACTAAAAATCATTAGATTGCTATATGTTACTAATTCATTCATTTTACGAATAATTTTTAAATATTTAAATGTGAAGTATATCATTTAGTATAAAAACATTATTCATTAGTATAAAGATATTATATTTCAGAATTATATAATAATTTATAAAATAATATAGTAAGTCAGATATAATGTTGAATTAAATATTATTTAGAAAAAGTATAATTTTTTTTTAAAATTCCATCTTTAATGCTTTGTTAATCTTATAGAAAGATCATACAAAAGGAGAATTATTAGTAGAAGCTGTCTTTTCATCTAAAAATATTTATACACATCTGATAACTATTAAGCTATATATATATATATATATAAATTTATTGATAAAATTATAATTATATGTACAAATTTACAGTTTTGCTAAATATTTATAAACATCAAGCAATATAATAATAATATTCATGCGTGTAAGTACTATTCTGTAGAAGAATAATTGTAAGATAGTACTTTCTTTGTCAATTTAATAAACTTCTCCTTTCAATAAATAATGAAATTACTAAGTAATTAATTATATTTACATTTATTAATTTGCTAATTAATTTGTAATGAATGCAAGTTAGAATATAGACAGGAAAATAGAAAAATGAGGCTTAATATAATGTTATACCGTTCCACAGTACAATTTTTATATTATAGAGATGAAACTTTTTTGTAAGTAATTTTTGATAATAATTTTATACTCCGTTATACAAATATTATATCATTTATTTATATAGAATATATAGATATCTTATATTTCATTTGTATTTATTTTTCTTTATATATTTTAAAGCATAAAAACTTCTCTGCCAATAGAAAATAATAAGCCGTTCTTGAGTTAAGGCATTAGATATTTCATCAGTTCAGTTTAAATTACAATAGCTTTTATTTATTCTCCGTTAAAAAAAAATTTTAAAAACTTTATAGTTCTATATCTTGTGAACAATCTACAGATTGTAAATTCAAAGTTATTTCATATATTTTATTCTGCTTATCTTATAGATTAATACATATATGTATGTATATATATATATATATATATATATATATTCTGAAAACTCATAAGTATTCCTGAATTTTTCGATACTGACAGATACTGAATCCTAACGCTCCTTTTGTTAAATTCATGATACATTGACTATGTAAGTTCTTTCTTTTCAAGAAGAATATTAGAGCTTAAGGATGCAGCCATCAATGGAACGATCTCTTGAAATATGATGCATTATGAAATAAAAACAAGGAATCTTTTTGTATATATACAAAACTGAATACAACTAGAAAACTATATAAACTTAAAAGTATGTAATTTTGAAGTAAATATTTTATTTTATCATTATTCTTTATAATTCGTGGACATTCTAAAAAATTTAACATCTGACATTGTGCATTCACATGTAAGTGTACATTTACTAAATAATCTTTAATCAAACAATGTAATGTAAGAGTTTGTCTTTCTATTATTATAGATCTTATTAATCAAAGGCTTAAGATTTTTATTATTCTTTCAGAACTTCAATCCAGATAAATACATAGTATATCAAAATGAATATGAAATGGAGTCGATGAAGTGTAAGCTTAGTGGATACTCTAGTGGATTTCATTTAAAAACTAAAAGACCCAACCTATAAACTCGCACCTTTGTAACGTGTATTGTAATTAAAAGAGTCTTTTGTCTCTAATTGTGATTATTGTACATTTTTAATTACACCTTCCTTATTAGATACCATATACATCTATGACTGCAAAAGCTCGAGCTGTTTGTATTCGAAATTCTTTTTGTCAGATGTATCGAGATCTGTGGATTATCTAATAAATATTAAAACTATTGTTGATACCATTATTTATTAATTCTAATCTATATTCTATTTTCAAATGATATGAATAAATCAGCTTAAGAAACTACTGCTTTAAATAAGAAATGGAACCGTAATTTATACAATATAACGAAAGAACGAAAAGTCGCAATAACGATGAATTTCACTAAAAAACATTAATATAAAATATGAATATTTAACATATTGAATAAGTTAGTATTTAAATTATTAAAATTATAAAAAACTAAACGAAAATATTGTATTAAAAAAATTTGAATAATAAAATTTAGTCCGATTTGTACAATTATATTCATTATAATAATTTAAAAATTCATATATAAATATTCTTATTCATAATTCATTTTTATAATTTATAAAAATGAGTAAATATTATATATATTTAATGTAAAATTACACATCTACATTTGCATTTATATATAATAACTCTTCAGTTAGATATTAACTGCCCATTAAATATTCTTGCGATCCAAGTAAAGTCACTCAAAGGCCATTATTATAAGAAAATTATAGAAAGTACTAAATAAAGTACGATTACATATAAATATATATATATATACAAATCAGTAATGCAAAATCATACAAAAATTCTCTAAAATTATATAGAAATATTATTTGACTTCAATATTTATTAAATTAATTGATCAGATACTATACAGTGCATTGACCTAAATAATTTTAAGAAAAAATTAAAAAATTTAAATATGAATCTATATAATAAATTAGTTAATAAACAGATATTATTTATTAAAAATTAAATCTTTTAAAAATTTCAAGTTAATTATACATTATTATATATTATCAAAATAATGATATGGTAAATGGTAAATAATTAATAATTATAATGCAATAAAAGAATATAATTGTGAATCGGAAGCTATGTTGTTCAGTATTCAAATAAAGATCAGTGAACCTCTGAAATCTAATTAAGAGATTTTTTGAAAATAAATTTAGAAATAAATCCTAACTGATGGAAAATCTCAACTATCCAATTAAAATTTGGCAAAGGTAGATATTAAAAATCAAATATAATAAATACATTATAAAGGTAAAATGAGCATTAATAAAATGTTTTTTATTAAAAAAAAAAAAAAAAATTACATATAAAAAAAAAATACATTTAAATATTACTATAAGTGTAAAATAATTATTATTTGCAAATAATATCTACCTGTAAAAATTTATTAAAATATAATTTGCATATAAAATGAATGTTAATATAGAAAGAAGACATTTGCTAGCGCTCTATAAATAGATAAAAAAAAATTTTTAATCAAGTATTTCAAACCAAAAAATAAATACAAAGTATTACTTCATTTCATACTAAGCAGTATCAATATATAAAATGTTACGGTAATTCCATTTTTTACAATCTATAATAATAATATACATTTTAATAATTATAAACATTTTATTAATGAATTATATTTAATTTCATTATATTTAACGTCCTAAATTTATATTTAAAGTATGGTAAATTGTATATGTAAAGATAAAGTAGGACTTTTTCGTATAACACAGTATCGGTCTATCACACCAAACTTAAAAGTCTAGATTCAATTGAAACGAAACTTATACATATAATTATTATTTGTATCTATTTTCAA